AGAAGTGCAGCCAGAGTGCTCCTCGGAAGCCAAGACAGCTGGACTTCGTCTCTCTTACTTCAGGCCTAGATGCAGCAGTGAAGGTCTCAAGTGTAGCCATGATTGTGAGGTTGGCACAGGACTGGACAGTGTTTCATTCTGATGTGCAGAGGGTCATTATGAGTCGGTACCAACTCGACAGCACCTCACAACAACCACAAGAAAACTGCTCTCAAAATGCCTATTTTTTCAAAAGAACCCTCGTGGCCCAATTTTCAGCCACGTAGTAGATAGGTATATAGGGGAACAACAGCATTAATAAGGTGTGCACATACCTTACTAACCAAAAAGGTAACCAACATTAACCTAAGGACGAGGTTGAGAGGGTCTGGGAAGGAGGGTGAGATAGAACCAGGAACCCCAGGGAGGAAGCGGGACGACGGGTGTCGCAGGGAAGGGATTGCGATCATTGAGACGAAACAAAGTGTGTGGTGTGTTTAATGTAAAGCTGATGATCTGTTCTGTAAACCTTCACTCAATTCAGAATTAAAAAGTTAAAAAAAAAAAAAAACAAAAACTGGAAGGAAACAAGGCAGTTAGCTGCTATTCCCTCGTGGTGGACTGGACATGTTCCGCTCGGTGCTCCCTCCATCTGACCATCACCCCTCGGTGTCTCAGCCAAGCCGCCCTCAGAGCCTGGAACACCGTCCATGAACACACTCCCTCAGCTCTGCCAGCTTCCAGTATGAAAACCACACACTGTAGCTAGTGGAGACATTCAGGAGATGAGACGGAAAATCTTATTAGAACTTGATTTCCATCTCACAAAAGAAAACCGGAAGCCCAGCTCTGTAAGGCTGATTAAAAATAAATGAATCAAATACATAAATCCAGCCATCCAGCCATGAGAGCATGCTTCCAGGGCCAGAGCTGGACTGAACCAAGCCCAGGGAGGACTGTGGTCTGTGTGTCCTTCCCTCTCCTCAAAATGGAGACCACATGGGTCATGAAGCCCAAGCATAGTACGATGAAAAGCAGTCTCTCAAATGGATCCACAAGGAGCTCAGAGTCTGAGAGACCAACATCCGAAGTTTCAAACATCTAAGGCAGCTGCCCTCCCCCTGCACAGGCTGGACTTCTAAGGGCTGTTGTTCAACTCACAGCGACCCGATGTACGGCAGAGCAAACCACTGCCCGATCCTGTACCATCCTCACTATTGCTATGTTTGAGCCCACTTTGCTGCCCTTGTGCTAATCCATCTTGTTGGGGTCTCCCTCTGTTTCTCTGACCCTCCACTTTATCAAGCATGATGTCTGTCTCCAGGGACTGGTCCCTCCTGATAACACGTGTGACGTAGAAGAGATGAAGTTTTCTCATCCTGGTTTCTAAGCAGCATTCTGGCTGCACATCTTCCAATAAACTGAGAACTACTCTAGCTCTAACCCCTAAAAAATGTGCATGATTATTCATAGACACTCTTCATTAATCCAATGGTGGTCCCGGCCAAGGTTCTGGGTGTTGGGGTCATTTTGATCTCAACCACTAACTGAGTTATTTAGTATTTGGCGAAGGGGTTAAACACTTGGCTGCTAACCAAAAGGTTGGTGGTTTGAACCCACCCAGCAGCTCCATAGAAGAAAGGCCTGGTGATCACTTCCATAAAGATTGCAGCCAGGAGCTCCCTGTGGAGCAGAACTCTACTCCAACACAGCACCAAGTGGCAGTAGATATGGTTTTATGGTGCGTCAAACCCTGAGCCACATAGAGCAATTGTGGGGCCACACAGGACTGGGTGGTGTTTTGTTCTGTTGTACATTGGGCCTACGGCACTTAGCAACAAGTCCTGGGTGGGTACAAGCTTGTGTACCAGAGTCACCTCATGCCATGAGTTTACAAAAACTGAGCATGTTCCTTCATGAGGCCAGGTGGGGAGTTCACAGAGAAGATAAGACCACATCAGCTCTTCACACATCGTTCACGTCCAGCGACCGAGGCAACTACCTGGAGAAGAGCAGGCTTACAGACACCAGGTAACCCCAGAATCCACCCCAGATGTAGGATCTAGGAGCAGAAGGACCTCAACTTGGTGAAATAAGGAATAAACAAAGGTTCCTGCGGCAGAGAGCAAACGAGCTCCTCTGGTGAATAACTAACAAAGCCCCAAGTTTTCTCATGGTGTTGAGGATTTTATAAGAGGAGATTCAGTGATTCAATGGAGTTCTCCCAAGCCAAGACCACATCTGACCTGAGACTTGGAGGAAGAGAGGGAGTCAGCTGGTAAGAGCAGGGAGGGAGTTCCGAGTGGAGGAAACAGTGCCAAAAGCCTGAGTGGGGAGGGTAAGCTTTTCAGGTGTGTTTGGTGAGTGAGTGTGGCCCATCCACCAGGTGAAACAGGAGTGTGGGCACCTGGTTCTACCGCAGTGCAAGACTCCAGTTTCCAGCCGTGCCGTAACAGTGCCACTCATCAGTCACCCAGCAGGCCACACTTGTGCTTTCTGCAGGACTAAGCACCAACCAGGACAAGGTCGGCGGTTCAAATCCACCAACTTATCCTCAGAAACCCTAGACAGAGTAACTATGAGTCGGAACTGACTCAACGGCACTTCACAATAACAAGAAGTGACTATTGGGGTCCTGGTGTGGCGCTGCAGGATAAGCAGTAGACTGCTAATCACAAGGTTGGGGGTTCAAACCCACCAGCCGCTCTTCAAAAACCCTAGACAGGGTCGCTATGAGTCCGAGCCAACTCGGCGGCACTTAACAACCACAAGTGCCATCCACACCAGCCACCCTACAAGACAGCTCTTTATTATCTCCCCTGAACAAAGGGACCCCAGAGAGCATAGGGGTGGCTGCTAACCATGAGGCTCCGGAGAAAGATGAACCCTGAGCAGTTCCAATCTGGGTCATTATGAGTCAAAATCAACTCACCAGCACTGGGTTCAAAGGAAGAAAGCGAAGCTCAGAATGGGCTAGCAAGCTGCCCAGGGCTGCACAGCACGTTATAACACAAGTCTTTGTGTAAGACCAGTGCAGCCAGCAGGCAGACTTGTGGTAAGTATTGTTGTTGTTGTTATGTGCCGTCGAGTCGGTTCTGACCCTGTACAGGGTTTCTGAGGCTGTAAATCTTTACAGGAGCAGAAAGCCTCATCTTTCTCCCGCGGAGCAACTGGGAGTTTTGAACTGCTGACTTTGCGACTCACAGCCCGATTTGTAATCACTGGTAACATTTCTAATTCTAGCAACTATTGGTTCTCTGTCCTCCCTGAGAGCAGGGACCTCTGACCTTGCTCCCCAGCTCTGTCCCTCACAGCACTGGCCTCAGATTCTCCCTCTGTAAAATGGGAGTAAGGGGAAGGAGATCGCCCAGTAACAACACACACTCCTTCCCACCATCTCACCCCAGTGCCACTGAACACCCCCCCAAAGAACCACTCACGTCTATTTCATAGGGGTGGGGGGTCATGGAGAAAAGGGGTTCCCAACCAGGCAGAATACAGGCTGCACCAAAGCAGGGCCTCTGGCCAGTCCCCAGCTAGCACGGGGAGGACAGGACTGCTCAGGAAGTATGTGTTGAGGGAATGCAAGCCCCTGGCTAGGACGGGGTGAATTTTTAAAGAAAACTGGGTAAGAGGTGGGGGAAAAGATCAAACGTTAGTAAATGTGCACTGTGGGTCACGCACTAGGGGTTCAGTCTGGACCTTCCAGGTGCCCTGGGCTGTGTCCCCACAGCACAGGATCCGGGCAGCGGGGAGGAGCTGAGCAGACTTGCCAAGACGCCCCTGCCCAAAGCCAAGTCCTGGGACACCTGCCAGCAGCGCCGCAGCCCCTCACCCTCAGCCTCTCTGGAGGACTTACGTTGAGGGAGGACACGGAGCTAGGACAGAGCCCTAGTCGCAGCCCCGACCCCGCCCAAGCCCTTCGGGAAGCGTGACTCAGCGGTTCTCCCGCGGACGCGAGGCTGCTCTGCATCCTCTGCCAGGTGGACACCAGACCCCACCCCGGTCACCGCCGCTACCGTCCCGGCAGGAGCGGCTGCCGCCCCCGCACGCTCCCCGCCCGGCTGGGCCTCATTTTCGGCGAAGCCAGCGTGGGGTGGTGGACACGACCCCGTGATCCGATCACCTCTCAGGCCCACCTTGCCCCCAGACACAGGCTCCTCCGCCGCCGCCCGCGCTGGACACGATGTCCAAGGGACTAGATGGCTCCGTGCCCCCGCCAACCAGAACACCCACCGGGCTCCCTGCTAAAACCTCAGGGAGATGGGTCCGCAGAATAAGGCCAGAGACTGACTCCCCGCGCCTCCATCTCCTTCTCCTATCTCTCCAGGGAGCTGTCCCCCAACCCTGGGCAAGGTCAGCGCCCAGCGACCCTATTAGTTCCTGGCCTGTAACCAGGGCGCCAAGCCCAGGCCGCCACCTGCACGATGGAGGTGTGGGTTGAGCGGTTAGGCCCGTTTCGGGTGACCTGTCCCACTTTTCGGGCAATCGTGACAGTTTGGGGCCCTCTCCTCGGTTTAGGAATAAGTCACAGACATAACCCAGCCCCGAAACAGCCGCCTCCCTTCTAGGAGAGCGCACGCGACGGGTGAGCCCGGGAGGGTGGGCAGATGGATTTTTTCCTGGGTCCCTCTTCGTCTCCAGGGAGGGGCAGTCTGGAAAATTCTGCAGGCTCTGGGCAGCGTTGACATGCCAGGCCCAGGCTCGGTTTGCACAGACCCGCCCCGTGGCCGTTTTAAACACCACGGGCAGCTGGAAGGAGGGGGTGGGGGGGATGGCTCGGGTCCCTCTGGCCCCGGCGCAAGCCACCTCCCGCGGTGCCATCCGGAGGACGGCGCGGAGGAGGGGGCGCTGCCAGGCTCGCTCGCTTGCTCGCTCGCTCCCTCCCTCCCAACCGGGGTGGGTGGGTGGGGCGCGGGACAGACACACAGCGCGAGGTCCAAACCTTCAGAGGGCATCGGGTACGACTGCATCCCCACGCCGCGGGCGGCCGGAGGGGGTCGCAGACCCACGTACGTTACCTTCGGTCACATAGCTGTGGTCCCGCAGGAAGCCGTGGTTAATATTCCGCGCGTCCGTGTCCTCGCCCATTGAAGGCCGTGCCCGGTGCCCTGGGCATGCCCCGCCACTGCGCTCCGATGCAATCCACGAGGGTGGCGCCGGGCG